CAGTTTCTGCCTCCTGTGTTCTGGGATTAAAGGTTTAATCCACCATGCCACGCTTCTTCTGTTGTTTTGTTATATAGGCTAGACTGACCTAGTACTTGAACTCATCCTCCTGTCTGCCTCCTAAATGCTGGGATTATAATTGTGGGACACCATATTTTCTTCTCTCCCTCTTTCTTTCTTTCTTTCTTTCTTTCTTCATTATTAGAAATGTAATTGTTAGGTTTCATGCCCTTCATATGTCTAGAAAAGAGCTTAAACTGGACTATAAAAGGATTTCTGGTGGTTAGATAAAAGCCGACATTCTTCAGGAACTTGTGAAATGACTTCTCCATCCCCTCTCCCCAGCTGCTTTTTATAATCCACAGGGTCCCCCCCCTGCTCTCTGTCTGTTCTCTATCTCTAGACCCCAACCCCCGTGCCCCAGGCTCTAGCTTTTTCTGTCTCCACTGCTCTCTTCCACTTCTCTAGCCCTGGCCGTGGTCAGTCCGTCTTTCTCTTCTCTGCACTATGCAGATGCTCCTGGATAGTCTCTTATCCACAGTCAACCTCCCTCCTAATGGAGCAGATATGTTGGTGCCCCCTGTCATAAGGAAGGTATAGCCTGAGCCACACAGTTCATCTCTTTAAACACTCCCTCTTCCCACGTCTCTCTTTGTTCAGTCAGTGGTCTTTCTGCATGTGAACTTGACACTAGTTAGTGTTTGGTTTGGGGGTGAATATGAGTGCTATCTCAGAATCTGTTTTATTTTGACATCCACCAATGTGTCCTGGGTCTATCATATTATGGTTTTGACATGCCCTCATTTTCCACATCAGCTGTCTTCTCCTGTTTCTTGTGTATTTTAAGCTGAAGCTGGTCTGACAGTCAGTGGTTTGGAGACCTTGCATGCATCTCCCATAGAAACAGTCCTGCCCTGGCGTGCATCCTTATCCCAGCTTGACTTTTTCTGTCTGATTCTTGCCTTTACCCTGTGCCATCTCACTGGCCCCATCATGTATGTATGTATTTATTTTGAAGACACCATGTTTCTCTGAGAATCTTTTTTTTTAAATATTTATTTATTTATTTATTTATTATGTATACAATATTCTGTCTGTGTGTATGCCTGCAGGCCAGAAGAGGGCACTAGACCCCATTACAGATGGTTGTGAGCCACCATGTGGTTGCCGGGAATTGAACTCAGGACCTTTGGAAGAGCAGGCAATGCTCTTAACCTCTGAGCCATCTCTCCAGCCCTTCTCTGAGAATCTTAATGGTAGTTTTCTTCTTCTTAGATAGAGACCGTTTCCTTTGGACACCTAAGAAATACTCATAAAAAAGGATATTTAAGTCTTGTTTTCTCCTAGTCTAGATTCCCTAGTAAATAAACTTTCTTGCACTGACCAGACATTCCCAGAGCTGATAGGGAAAACAAGTGAGCTGTAGTGGACCTCACAGTTCTGTTTGCCTTGGGCCTCTGTGTTCTATTGGGGATTGCACACTTTCCTGGAGCCCTTCTGCAGAGAGGAAACCTTGGTCTTAGCCAGGCTTGAGGTGGAGACCCAACTGTTTTGTAAACAGCTTCCAAACCTTCTTTGAAAGGAGTTTGTGCACCAATCCCTGAACCTTTGGAAGATCTCCCAGTGTAAACAGCTCACTCTGTCTCTGTTGTGGGCTAGGACTCTAGGGCCTTCTCTTTACTTGTCCTCCTTCCTCTCTGCAAAGTTGTTCTTGGCCAACTCCTTTTTCTTTACCCAAGGTCACCTGTGTCTTCCTTCCTTCCCACTCCATTGAGTACCCAGAAGCCTCTCGCCTTGGCCTGGGTGATTATTTATTTTGTGATGTGCAGCAGAGAGTGATCATACTGTCCTTGAGGCACATCTTACTTCTCTTGTCCCCGTTCCTTTACCAACTCTCCTTACTACTGGCAGAGAAAACCAAGAGTCTGTTTTGAGAGTTTAGTCTTCTGTTTGAGTCACATGCTCACAACCTCTGTTTTCAGGTTTCACTGGGGAATCATTTTGTTCCAGTATGTAAGCTTTATTAAGCTGTTAGCATAGCATTCATATATATATATTTCCCTCAAATTTCTGTTCTTCATGGAAATCCCTTTCTCTATGATGTCTCGTTTTCTTGGCTCCCTACTTTAAGAGAGCATTCTATTTGTTGAGATTAGGAAGATTAGTGAAAAGTTGTAATGAATTGCTATCACTATTTACCATGATAATAAATGTACAGAGTCAAAGGCATCATTAGTTTGTTCTATTATCCTTCAAGTCAGATGGCTGTGTATCACAGACAACATACATTCACAGTCTGTATGCTTGCCTGTGTGTGTACCACCACCACTGTGTTGTCTTAACTCATGTGGGTTTAGTTACTTACTCTCTAACATCCTTCTACGTCAGCCAAATGACCCCCTTTATTAGTAGCATTACATTAGCATAAATTCATTATTATTTACATTCTGTTAGCATAAATGGACATTTTCTGGGACAGTCGTAATTTCTCAATGTTTTTTTTTACTGATCATTTGATGACAGTCTTTGTCGGTTTCCTTATTTTATTTTGTCTTGTTTTTGAGGCCCAGTCTCTCTGTGTAGCCCAGACCCCTTTGCCTCTGTCCTAAGAAGACTGGTATTAAAGGCACTGACCACCATACCTGGCAGTTTTTGAATTTGTGTTCGTTGGAGTTCAGTGGACCAGAGTGTACAATTCGTTTTCATAGATATCTATGGAGTAGTTTTAGGGTTACAGAAAATTTGCAGAGAAAAATAGGTTCCATACTACGCACTATTTCCCATTTTGAAATCTTGTGTTAGTATTTTTTTAAATGAGTGTGCATGCAGAGGGGTCCTTGTGGAAGACAGAAAAAGGGTGCCATATCCTTTTTAGTTATAGTTCCAGGTGGCTGTGGCTGCCTGCCACGGGCGCTGAGACCCAAACCCTGTTTCTCTGGAAGGGCAGTAAGTGCTCTAAACCACTGAACTCTCCCACCCCGTGCATGGTGTGTTCGTTGTAACTGACTCCCGGCACCCTTTTCCTCGCGTGTGCCAGGCAAGTGCTGTATGGACGAACTGCACCCTGGCGCTCAGAAACTAACTCCTGACCATTCCGAGGGATACATACTGTCCCTTAACCACAGTCACACAGAGTAATTTCCCTGTTCTCTAACAAGAGGGCCCTGCTTACTCATCCTGCCTCCCATCTTCCACACCTCTGGCAAATATTGATCATATTACTCTCGCTACGGTTTTGTCCTTGTGAGAACATCTTGTGCTCGGGACGACACAGTTGTGGTCTTTTCCAACCGGCTCCTTTGTCATGCTGAGAAAGCTTCTTGTACCGTTCATGTTGAAGTGTTAGCCCTGAGCGAGGCTTGTAGGGTACAACAAAGCTTACCATTGTCCAGAAGTGCTCCTTGCCATCACGGTAATCTCCATGACCTTATTTAACTGAGCACACTGAGGAACAAGCCTACCCCTATATAAACTGTATAGGCTTCCTGCATAAAGCCCCCACACTTTGGAAATTAATCCTGTGGGTTTTTTTTGTTTTTTTTTAAATATTTATTTATTATGTATGCAATATTCTGTCTGTGTGTATGCCTGCTGGCCAGAAGAGGGCACCAGACCTCATTACAGATGGTTGTGAGCCACCATGTGGTTGCTGGGAACTCAAGACCTTTGGAAGAGCAGGCAATACTCTTAACCACTGAGCCATCTCTCCAGCCCTAATCCTGTGTTTTGTATGTTTTGTAAAACTACATCTCCAGTTCTTTATGGCTTGACTGCGCCTGTTTCATCTTTACTAAAGTCGCTGAGATGTGAACTCATTGCTCTCAGTTATGGCTGTACCACACTATGTTTATGTATCTACTTATTGAAGGATCTACATCTTGAATATGTCCAAATTTAGGCAATTTGTTTGTTTGTTTTACTTTCTATTTTTTTAATTGTTTTCTTGCGCTAACATTGGCAATTTTGCATGAAGCTGAAGTTCATTTGCAAGCTTTTGCAGCTCACTCGTGCAGTACCAGGAATGAGATTGCTGGCTGAATTGTTACTCCACGTTTCGTTGTGGAAGCAACTGCCCAGCTGTCTGGCCGTACAGTTTTGTATTCACGAACCTATTTGAGTTGTTTGAATACAGAGTTGAATTTGCAGAAAGCTAGCTTGGAAAGCTCTTGAGCCACTATGAAACAACCCTGCACCCGTCCTTTGTTCTCTTCGTCGAGGGCTCCCCTTGCCCATCTGTCCAGATGCTTTTGTGTTGTCTCCCAGGTCTCAGAGACTCTGCCAGTGTCCATACTGTTTCCTTTTTGTTCCTCGGACTGAATACTGCCACTGAGCTCTTCTTCTGCCTCCCTGGGTCTTTCTTATGTCAGCTCGGTCCTGCTTTTGGACCTCTAGTCATTCAAGCGCTGTAATGTGTCAGTTTCGTTTAGCGTAGTGATTCTCAGCTTGCGGGTAGCAACTCTCTGGGGGGGGGTAGGGTGGGGGTGTCAAACAACCCATTCCCAAGAGTCGCCATGAGAAAGCACAGGTATTTTCGTTATGATTCATAACAGTAGTAAAATTACAGTTAGGAAGTAGCAGTGAAAATAACTTTATGGTTGGGGTCACCACAACCTGAGAATCTGTATTAATGGGTCGCAGCATTAGGAAGGTTGAGAACCACTGATTTAGTGGTTATAAGGCATCTACTCTAGATTTTTTTGGGTCTGTTTTTAAAACACTGAATTCTTTTTACTGCCATTCTCAATTTGGCTAGCTATCTTATTGTTTTGCTTAATTCTTAAGTTGTTTGAATAGATGTCTAGTGGTTATTTAGTGTGTTAAGGCCAGTGCCTGGCCTTCTTTGGGGATAGAATTGACCACTTTTCCTCTATTTATGGGACAGATTTTTGATTTCTTTGTATGCCTTGGAAATGTTGGTTGCTGTATCTGGACATCTTGCGATATGATGTTGACTCTGGAACTCAGGCCTTCAGCCCTGTCCTGCCACGACTTGTTGTCGTTGCTGTTGTTTTAAGAGACTGTATTATTGTGGGAAGCCACTCAGGCCTCTAATCAGGTCTGTAATTGCAGAAACTGAGGTTGGAGAATTACAGAGTCACAGAAGGCCTTGGCTACACAGTGAGATCTTGCCTCAGAAGGAGAAAAAGAAAGAAAAAAGGGAAGCTGCTATTCAGTTAGCCTTGCTAATGACGGGATAGAAGATAGAACTTGTTCCCTAAACTAAAACGGGGAAAGGATTACTTGAAGGGTAATTTTATTTTTAATTATGTATATTATGTGTTGTTGTAAGTAGGTTGCCTGAAGTCACAGGTGGTTTTGAGCCACCTGACATGGGTGCTGGGAACAGAATTCAAGTCCTAGAAGAACAGCAAACATTCTTAACCGCTGAGCCATCTCTCAAGCCCCTGTTGTTGATCAGTTAGTGGTAGAGATCTTAAGTTTCAGTGATTGAAGGAAAATGCAGTGAGCCGCTTACTTAACTGTGAGGTTGTTGTTGATATGTCAGTGAACACAGGGAGTCTCCAATTAGATTAGACTGTTGAAGTGTTCCCTAGCACTCGTTTCAGGAGTGCTGTTGGAGGTTCTTTTAGAAAGATTAACCTGTCCTAGATCCTTGGTTTGAGGCTCAAAGTGGGGGAGGGGAGAGGAACCAAGTTTAACCAAAATCACAAACATAGTATTAGCAAAAGAAGATTAGAGACCTTAGTAGGGCCCGGTTTGAGGGTAAACATACTGGAATGGTTGCTTTCTGGGGTGTGCATACTACAAACACACCTTCAGCACCCCTTCACTCCCTTCCCCTTCCATTTTACAGACTGTTTGAAAGCCTGCTGGGACATGTCATCGGTGACAGAAACTTGGCAGCAGGGCAGCTCTGAGCGAGTGCAGGATGTCACCAGGAATCAGGTCCCCGACGAGTCCAGACTTCCTGGGATTCTAAATGGTAAAAAGTCTGAATGTTCTCCTTAATGCCATCCTGTTGGTTATTTCTCACTTTGTCTTATTAGCATTAACAAATTACTTCCTAATGAACTATGTTAGAGTACCATCGTTTATTCTAGTGTCAAAAATGTACTTCAAGCCTGGCATGGTAGTCCTGTCCATGCCCTACAGTCCCAGAAAGTACTGGGAAGCTGAAGCTACAGGGGCTCATCAGTAGTTCAAGACCAACCTGGACTACAAACAACAACAGAAACACTCTGTCCTACACACACACACACACACACACACACACACCCCAAAATTGTTTCAGATCTGGTGTGGATAATAGGACTATTGGTTCCATACCAACTGCCATGTCACAAAACTATTCTTCTTGTTTGTGGGGGTTTGTTCTGGTATCTTTGGTTGGCCTGGAACTCACACACATCCAATTACCACTGGCTCCTGGGTGCTGGGATTAAAGACTTTCATAAAAAACTTACAGAATTGTTCTTAAAAAAACAAAACAAAATAAAAACACCGGGGCTGGAGAGATGGCTCGGTGCTTAAGAACACTTGCGGCTTTTGCAAAGGACCCATGTTTGGTTCCCAACACCCACATTGGGTGTCTCATAACCGCGTGTATTAACCCCAGCTCAGGGACTCTTTGGTCTGTGTGGGTACCTGCACTCATGTGGGCATGCTGCCCTCATAAAAACATAACTAAAAATAAAATCTTACAAAAAATTTAAAAAGGCCGGGGAGTTAGCTCCATCAGGCGAGAACTTGCTTTATAAGCCTAACCTAAGAACCTAAATCCAATCCCAAAAAAACAAAGTTGGTGTGGTTTCATAGGTTGCTGTCTCAGCGCTGAAGAGGTGGATAAAGTCAGGTGCCCGGGACTCAGTGGCTAGCCAGCCTAACATCCTTGGTGATCTACAAGCCAGTGAGACACCCTGTTGCAGAAAAACATGGCAAAGAACTACTGAGAAAGGCCGGGCGGTGGTGGCGCACGCCTTTAATCCCAGTACTCGGGAGGCAGAGGCAGGTGGATCTCTGTGAGTTCGAGGCCAGCCTGGTCTACAAGAGCTAGTGCCAGGACATTCTCCAAAGCTACAGAGAAACCCTGTCTCGAAAAACTAAAAACAAAAAACAACAACTGAGAATCAATAGCTATCACGTATACAGGCATGTACATACTCACCCCGCCCCCAAGTGTGTGTGCCTATACACACACACACACACGCACACACGCACGCACGCAATATTTGAATGTTTACAAGCACTTTATATACTAAAAATTGGTTAGGTTCTTGGCATTTGAATTTAGGTAATCTATAGAAGTGGGGGGGGGGTTCTAATTTTGAGACACATAGCCTCAAATTTATTCTGTGTTCAGGGATAATCTTGAACTTCTGATCCTTCTGCCTCTACCTGCATGTTGGGGTTACGGATATGCTATCTGCCTGATAATATGTGGTGCTGGGCACTGAAACTGGAGTTTCTCGCATGCTAAGCAAGCGTTCTACCAACTGAACGACACTCCCAGCCCAAACATTGCTTCCCTAAAGGTTTCTAGCCAGAGTAGGAGACGCAAAGCTGTATTGTTTATTGAACATATTATCGCTGAGGAGCTGCACATAGGGGGTCCACCCAACAGCCACCAGTCTGGCTGTAGTTCAGCTGAGCCTCTCCAGTCCACTTGGCTCACATCGTCTCGCTTCCAGAAACTTCACAATTGTTTTTATACTTATCTCTAAATGCGTCACAGCCCTCAATCAGCAAAAGGCAGAATGGACCCGGCGCTTGCACGTCTCCTGGCTGCCCAGAGCTGCTGGTGTCTGTCAGGAGGAGCTCAGTGCTGATATTAAGATAGAGGTGTCAGTTTTAGAACTGGCAAGGTAGTGGCACTCCTGGCGTGTGAACAGTTGAGTAATTACAGCCACGCTCTTCCGCTGTGTTCTTGTACTTCTATAGACCTGAAGGTCAGACTCCATTTTTCTGAGACAGTCTCGCTTTAGCCACGGCTGTCCTGGAACCCACTACGCAAACCCGGCTTGCCTCTGCCTCCTGAGTGCTGAGGTTAAAGACTTGTGCCACCACATGGAGCCTCCACTGTTTATTGTAGGATATTTTAGGACATCCTGAATTAGGTTTGGTTTGATTTATTTTTTAATCCCAGCATCCTGCATTAATATGAGAACAATGGGTCTTTTTGGAGCAATCTCTAGTCTCTAAGTCAGTCTTGTTTTGTTTGAAGCAGCTGGCCTCGTAGCACAGGAGAACGTTTTGAGCTTGAGGATTCTGTAAGCAGTCCCACTTACTATGTCTTTCGCTCTTTTTCAGCACTGTCCTGTCTAGTGCCATCTTGTCCTACCGATAAACTGGCAACTCATCTGGCCACAACAGAGGGAAACTGGAGGAAATACCATTCTAGGCAGCCAAGGCCTAGAGGATTGCCCCATCTCAAAGGGAAGTCTCTGACTGCCGTTTGAAATGCTGAGAAACTTGTTTCGGAGGAGACTTTTGTCTTATCCTGCAAAATACTACTTCGTGGCGCTCTTCCTCTCTTTAGTCACCTTCTCTGTCCTAAGAATTCATCAGAAGCCTGAATTTGTTAGCATCAGACACTTGGAGCTTGCTGGAGATGATGCTAATAGCAACATTAACTGCACCAAAGTTTTACAGAGTGACCCAGATGAAATCCAGAAGGCGAAGCTTGAGTTACTAACAGTGAAATTCAGGAAGCGCACGCGGTGGACACCGTATGACTATATAAACATGACCCATGACTGTGCCTCTTTCATCAGGATGCGCAAATATATCGTAGAGCCCCTTAGTAAAGAGGAGGCAGACTTTCCCATCGCGTACTCCATAGTGGTTCATCACAAGATTGAAATGCTTGAGAGGCTCCTGAGGGCCATCTATATGCCTCAGAATTTCTATTGCATTCACGTGGACAAAAAAGCAGAGGAGCCTTTTTTAGCTGCGGTGACGGGCATTGCGTCCTGCTTGAAGAACGTCTTTGTGGCCAGCCAGCTGGAGAGCGTCATTTACGCGTCCTGGAGTCGGGTTCAGGCTGACCTCAACTGCATGAGGGACCTGTACGGCATGAGTGCAAACTGGAAGTACTTGATCAACCTCTGCGGTATGGACTTCCCTATTAAAACCAACCTGGAAATGGTCAGGAAACTCAAGTCATTCCTGGGCGAAAACAACCTGGAAACCGAGAAGATGCCTCCAAACAAGGAGGAAAGGTGGAAGAGACGACACACCATTGTCGACGGGAAGCTGACGAACACTGGGGTGGCCAAAGCCCAGCCGCCCCTCACCACTCCTCTTTTCTCAGGCAGCGCCTACTTTGTGGTCAGTAGGGAATATGTAGGCTATGTGCTAGAAAATGGGGACATCCAAAAGTTCATGGAGTGGGCACAGGACACGTATAGCCCAGATGAGTACCTCTGGGCCACCATCCAAAGGATCCCTGAAGTCCCTGGTTCTCTCCCCTCGAGCCATAAGTATGACTTGTCCGACATGAATGCTGTCGCTAGGTTTGTCAAGTGGCAGTACTTTGAAGGTGATGTTTCCAAAGGCGCTCCTTACCCACCGTGCAGCGGAGTCCATGTGCGCTCCGTGTGCATTTTCGGAGCTGGTGACTTGAGCTGGATGCTTCGCAAACACCACTTTTTCGCCAATAAGTTTGACATTGATGTTGACCCCTTTGCCATCCAATGTTTGGATGAGCATCTGAGGCATAAAGCCCTGGAGACCTTAGAACACTAACTGCTGTTGTCAGGAGTCCTGGGGAGAGTAGGGATGCACAAAGCGTAACCCTCATCCACTTCCTTTGCCTCATTTGGAGTCCTCTTTGACATGATGGCTTTTAAGTCCGTGTTAGAGAAGCTGCATGGATTGTGTAGAGTACAGGTACAAGAGAGGATGACACATTCAGTGTTCTGGAGTCAAAACGAGGAAAGAGGGAGGACAGATGGAGGCTGGGGAAGATTTTATGGACAGAGGGGACTCAGGTCATTGGGAAAGAGGCCAAAGACAGAATCAGCCTCCCCAACTAATCAAAGAAACCAGGTACTTGATCCAAAGGAGATTCCATTTGTGCCAAAATTCTCTTGAGAATTTTAAACACGGTAATTTTCTTGACATGAATAAGTTTGTAGCAGCAACCAATCACAAAGATGTGGTTTACCTTGTACAATTTTTGGAATGGACATTCAGTTCTACTCTTAAGTTTTCCTTGTCCTTCATGCTGTGACTCTGTGGGGTGGTGCCTCTGTGTGTCTCAGGGGGTTTAAAATATGCTCAGCATGAATATTTCTGTTTTCGTTTTAGTTATTAGAAGATTCTAGGAGCCAGCTGGGTGTGTGCCCATGAAGCGGCAGGATAAGCTCAAGTGATCATCTAGGTTTCTGTGGTTCTGACTCTCACCTCAAATGCAGTTTTGTTTTCTCCCCTATCTTAATATCATTTAGCTAAATCTAAACTGTTTGGCCGGCATTCTGATGACGTGCCTTGTCGTTCATGTTAGGTTTTAAACAGGAATCAACACCGCGTACTTTTATTTCTACAATGTAGTCCACTTTAATAATCCGTGAGAAAAATCATACCAGACAACTTTAAGGCATTCAACTGAGAAAGTATGTTTTCTGCCTCAAAGCTAGAATAGATTTTTCTTTTAATGGCAGCTCTTGTCATCAGAAAAGGCAGGGATCGGTAGATAAGCCGGGTTTTGTGTTGGACCAATAGAAACACGTTTGCTGCGAAACTGCAGCGCCAGCGGTGGTAACGCAGTGGTGGGTGGTGGGTGTCCTCGATGCTGGTTCCTGTTTCTTTCTTTAGTTTGTACCCAGGCTTTGTCGAATCCCTCTTTACCGGGAAAGGCTTCTTTACCTATGAGGCAGGACATCTTTTCGATCTCAAATCAGGGATACCTGGTGACATAAAATTTGTGTAAACAGCTGTAGCTGTGCCTTAAGCAGTTTTTTCTGTTTTGAAAACTCAAGGTAAGAGCAGTGAGTGGTCCGGTGACCCCGCACCAACCCTGACCTGAAGTCGCCAGCCCTTGACACATACAGCCCCACTTGCTTTGTCTCGGATGAACTCCAGAACTTTGCAAAACTGGAAATAACATTTTTTAAAAAATTACAAGTATTTTTTGAGAATCAGGTATTTTGAGTTATTCATCTAAACACTCAGTAGCGTAGTGCAGCTGCATTTAGTTCAGAGTTAAATGGCAAGTTTGAGGGTCTCCTTTTTTCCCACTGTAGGAGTAAGACTAGGGTTCCCGAACCCCGCATTAATGCTGTGAAGTCTCCACACCTCGTGATACCTCACGTCCTAGCACCGTGCCTGCTGAGCTCTGTCTGATGTTGCGGTGTCCCAATGTCCATGCAGGGCTCCTGCGGTGTCTGTTTATTGGCACTCAATGAATTTTGTTTTTAAATTTTCCAATATGACTTAAAGCAAAAGAAATTCATACATTGGGGATCAATAATTTGAAGAACTACAAAGGAAACTTGGAAATGACGCCGTAAGACATTCCAGGAGAGCCAATGCCAGTTCGCCTTATTAAGTCATTTCGTATGTTAGTGAACACTACTTTAATGCAATCATTAAGGTCTTTTATAGAAAACTTTTAATAATCACATTCCCAAATAAAATCTAGTTAAGTCGATCAAGATTCATATGTCATTTGCTAAAAGTAAGTTAATTTTAAAAGATTCTTTATTTTATAGGCCTGAAGTTCTTATAGGCCTTAAGTTCTTTTGAGGTTAAAAAACAGAAAACAAACTTGTTTACCTTGAAAACTGGGAACACTGTTATATCTAAACATGTGCTTGCTCACTCATCTAGTAGGGTTCATTGAGGTGAATTTATTTCCTCTTCACGTGATTTGGGTTGGAAGAGGCTGTTTTAATAGTTCATGTGTAGAATTGATGGAACGGGATGTTTTGGGCTGTTTAAATAATCATCATTATGAAGTGTAAAATGGAAGACTATTTATGTTTTACTTTTTCAAATGAATCAGTCGTTTCACCATTAAAATCAGTCATTCAGAAACCAATGCAGTCTGCACAAATTATTCCTTCTCCATTCTGCCCATCACAAGAAAGTTGGTTTTCATATTTGTGAGTAGTGATTGAAAAATGAAGGCAGAGATGTCTGAAATTGCTGACGTAGAAATGCCAGAGAGGAATATAAGTGACCAGAGAAAATTACATTACAAAGTAAGATAAAAGGCTTGGTGTGGTGGCGAGTTCCAGAGGCAGAGGGATTGCTGTAAACTTGTGACAAGCCTGCTTTCTATAGTTCCAGGCCAGCCAGGGCTGTACAATGAGACCCTGTCTCCCTCCTTCCCCCCAAAAGAGACAGGTGGTGCACAAAGGTGAAGGTGGGGAGGTGAGAAGCACGCCGTGAGTGCATTCCCGGATGCTGGACACACTTCAGCTTGTGCCCGGTAATGGAGAGTCTAGATTATCACAGACTACTCTGCAGCTATAAAGCTCTGTCTGGGATATATGAGAACCTTGATTTGATTCCCAGCACCATAAAATCTTTTACAAGTTTACAAAATATTCAGGTACTGAGAGATCAGAAATCCATCCATTTTGCTATTTGCCAGAATAAGTTTCAGCTAAAATGTGACTATGAGCACCCGGAAGCGATCCACAGGTCAGGCTTGATGGCATCAGGGTTAGGAGCTCAGTATCTGGGGAGGAGACTCCTTTTTCCCCTCAGCTGTGCCTCCTGCATTCAGAGCTCAGCAAGTGGCAGAGTCTAGACGTTTGTAGATGAACCAGATTTTGGAAAGTAGCAAAATGATGGATTGCAGAACTGACAATTTTATAAAGATTTTATTGTCATGGATTTTTTTTGGATACATGCTAGGTAGGCTAAGGTGTCATAGAGCTATTCCTCCCGTTCTAGCTAAGTCAGCTGAATTGATTGACCAGTGACTTGAGCATGGTCTCACGGTTTATGACAAATTGACCTCAAACCCCTGATCATCCTGCTCCAATCCCTCAGTTTTGGGATACAGTAAGGTGACATCATGCCTAGTGTCCGATTGTTTTTTTCTTTAAAGATTTTTTGTTTGTGCGTGCATGTATGTGTGTGTGTGTGTGTGTGCATGTGTGCATGAGCCTCCAGGAGAAGAAGACATTGGATGGCCTGGAAGCTGCAATTCCCAGTGGTTGTGAACTGTTGCATGTGGGTGCCGGTGATCAAACCCAGTCCTCTGGAAGAGCAACCAGTGTTCTTAACTGTTGAACCATCTCCCTTTCCAGTACCTAAATTTGTTTCTTTCTTTCTTTCTTTTTTTTTTTTTTTTTTTTGAGACAGGGTTTCTCCATAGCTTTTGGCTTTTGGTTCCTATCCTGGAACTAGCTCTTGTAGACCAGGCTGGCTTCGAACTCACAGAGATTCACCTGCCTCTGCCTCCCGAGTGCTGGGATTAAAGGCATACACCACCACCGCCCGGCCTAAATTTCATTTTTTAAAAATGAGTGCATGCACGTTCATGCGAGTGTGCGTGTGTAGAAACTACAGGATGACCTGAGGTGTCATTCTCAGGAATGCTACCCACCCTCTTTTGAGAAAGGGTCTCTCACTGACCTGGCATTTACAAGTAGCTTGGTCTGACTGGCCCCCAGGTCCTGGAGATCTCGTCTCCCTCCCCAGTGCTGGGATTTCAAAAAGGTTCCATTGTGCCTAGCATTTTCCCATGGTTTACTGGGTTCGAACTCAGGCCCACATGTTTTCCACCAACTATATCCCCAGCCCCAGCGCTTTCTTTTAACAAGCATGATGCTAACCCAAACCAGATTAAACCAAGATTTAACTTTCAGGTGTGAAATTAGCAATGTTAGTGCTATTAAACACTTCAAAATGTTCATCCTCAGTACTTAAAAGATTATCTGAGGAAAACTGCATATAGTGTGATCTTCTAAAAGAAAGGGTATTGACTAGAAAGAAGTGGTTGGAGTTTCCCCAAAACTGTATCTTTTGAGTCATTCCCTCCAGCTCCATAAAATTGTTGGCTGCCCAATCTGAATTTGGAGCCTTTTCCTCGTGGTTTGCCTATCTTAGTCCCTTTGTCGTGAAAGATTTCTCAGGCAGAGGTCCCCTGCTGCTTTCTTGCTACTCTTCCCCAGGCAATAATTTAGATTTAAGTCATGGGACTTAGCAGTGTGTTTTAAGGCTTTATTCTTAGCCAACTATGAGATTTCTTTGTTGTATAGGTCAGGTAAAGCAATTTCTAGAAGTAGCCAGATGAGCGATGCATTTGCTGTTGGGGAAGAAAAGGTTGGTGAGTACAGCTCGCAAAGGAATCAGACAGGCACAACTCAAAGGGCATCTATTGTTTTCAAACAAAAAAGTCTTCTGTTTCAGCCACACCCGTCCTTCCAACCCCTGCTCTGCTGAGGAGCACACTTCTTGGACGGAGGCAGGTGTGCAAGGCTCTTCCACAAAACACCGCTAGCTGGCCCTTCCCTCACTTCCTTTCTTCCTTCCCTCCTTATAATTTCTTTTTTTCAGCAGCAAATGCATTGAGGAATTACAGGAATAGAAACAAATAGTTCATTCATTCTGGAGCTGTTGGGAGGATCCCTTAATGAGTTTGCGGAGACAGGGGAGAAAAATGAAAAAGCACCGTGAATATGGAAACACGATTTGATTCCCCCTCCTCTGTTTCTCTGTGTGTCTCTATCTCTGTCTCTGTCTGTCTATCTGTCTGTCTGTCTGTCTGTCTCTCTCTCTCTCTCTCTCTCTCTCTCTCTCTGTGTGTGTGTGTGTGTGTGTGTGTGTGTGTGTGTGTGTGTGTACTTGTGCTTGCTAGTAGAGGCCAGAGGTCAGTGTCCTCCTCTATCACTCGTCACCTTGTTTTCTCTAACAGATCTCTCCCTGAACCTGAAGCTAGCTGTTTTTCTTAGACTGGTCAGCTAGCCCCAGGTACCTGTCTGTCTCTGCCACCCTCTCTCCGACCCCCAGTACTGGGGTTCCTGGTTTTTAAATGGATAAAAACTTGGTTCTTACGCATTTGTACCAACAGCTCTTTACCTGCCAAGCCATGGCTAGCTCTGGGAGGGAGGGGAGAGTTTGGAAGCTATCAAGAGAATGAATAGTCCTGATACGTCTTCTAATGCTTGATGGAAGCATATGAAGACGGAGAAGGAGGTGTCCCTACATAAAATACATGAAAAGTTTCAAGCCCCAGTTCCAGGGCAGCCTGTGTTTGTCTGTATTCTTTAGTAATAGCAGCATATCCAGGAAATGGAGAGAATGGGGATTTATGTTAGGCTGGGTCCGGTTAGGCTGGGTTTTGTGTTTCTAAATCAATTGGCAGTTGCGGGGATTTGTCAAGGAATGTGGGGAGACCGGCATTTGGCTTCCAGGCTAGAAAAGCTAGGTGGGCCTACAGAAGAGCTTGAGGCAAAAAGAAGGGATTAGCTAGTTGCCACCAGGCTGTTGAGGTATAATTGACAAGCAAAAATTATATGTGATTAAAGTGTATAGCAGGATGTTTTGATAGATGCTCACACTACTAAGAGATTACCACAATCAAGTTAATGAGCATATTCATCATAGCTTATAGCTGCCTTTGTATGGTGGAAACACTCCAAAATCTACTCCTAGGAACCACAGAGAAGGCTCAGTCAATAAAGATGCTGGCTGCCGGGCCTAATGACCTGAGTTCAGTCCCTGGGACTCACAAGGTAGGAGAGAATTGGTTTTACCAAGTTAGTTCTCTGACCCCTACACACTCATAGTGACACAAACAATGAATAATAAACGTGTGTGTGTGTGTGTGTGTGTGTGAGAGAGAGAGAGAGAGAGAGAGAGAGAGAGAGAGAGAGAGAGAGAGATTCTTATTAAATTTGAAGTATATGGTACAGTAGTAACCAGAGTTACCCTGTACTTCTTACTACAAGTTTCTACCTTTGGAACTCAATCCCCTCTGCTTTTTTTCCTACTCTCACAACTCCTACAGTCAACTCAGGCTGCACTTGCAAAGAGGCTGGGAGTTGTTTGTCCTGCGCCTGGCCTCTTTCCCTCAGTGTGGTGTCCCCTGGCCTTATCCACATGGCTACAACAGCGCTTTCCTTCTCTCTTTGTGTCTGAACAGTAGCATCGTCCTCACCCATTCTATTCATCCTCTCACCTGTCAATGGATACTTATTGTTTGCTTTAATCTTAAGAAAAGCTGCTCTGCCGACTCAATTCTAATTAAACCAGATTCGACCAAATTAAAATGCCCGTGTTTAATAAATGCAGCAGCACTCTCGGGTGGACCAAGACAGCATGGCTGGGAGAGGAGCCCACTCAAACTCCAGAGACCATGTGGTCCTCCCTCAACCTCCCCACTTCCCCCTTCCCACTGCACCCCTGCATGAGCCTAAATAGCCTGTGGGAGTGGTCTCGACCCCTCCTGGGGAGGGGTCAGTGCTTGGCTGGCTAGGAGTTAGAGTCCGGATCAATGCAACTTCCAGGCCAGGGGCTGGGGTGACGCTGCCAATCATTTACTTATAACTCAGAAAGTTCCAACAAACCGAATCTAGCCATCTACCACTTTGACAGTCCAGTGAGAGAGAGAAGAGGTCATAAAGGAAGAGAAAAATTTATTCAGCATGACCTGGACCAGTGTTGAGTCCTGTCCTAAGTCCTGTCTTTCATTTATTAATAAAGCTTCAGGATTTTATAGCAGAAAGAAAAAAAGCAGTGGAATAAATATGTGCACAGCCGAATGATCTTGGTTGAACAGTGTTCTGGTTGATCATGCTCTCAGGTCTCATTTGGAGATCTACCTGGCACCAGAGAAATCACTTTTTCTTGTGTAGAGCAATTCAGTTCTGATCCCAAGATGGTTGCTTCTGCCTGGGGATAGTCTTTTCCAGCTCTCAAGCACAGACTGTGGGGTTGTGACTCCTGGAATTTGAGATAAGTTGGGAAGGACTCTCACGGTAGAACAACTCTGGGATAGGAACAATGACTGGCTGCTCCTTTGAGAGGAGCAAAGGACAGTTTCCAAACAGCCCTCAGCTGTTTGAGTATGACTGCAG